AAAGATTTAAAGCTATGGTAATAAATGCATAAAAGAAAATATAATTTGCTTTAATATAAAAGATTTTAATAAAACAGTCAGTCTACATTAAGTCGGAAACCAATAAATCTGAATTTTACAAGCTTTCTACATACTTGGAAAAAAATTCACATTGTTTATATTAAACCTTTTAAAATTCAAAATAGAGTCTAATTTAAAGAAAATGTCAGGGTTTTATCATTTAAATTATTCACCTGAAATATGGGAAATGTATAATAGAGAAAAGTAAACCTCAAGGTTCCTTTGCAAATCATCTAGTTAATGTGCATCAAGAATCAAATCTTAGCTTCCAAAGGGCAGACACAGTCTTTCACTGCTTTTAGACAGGCACTTAAGCAATGCTTTTGATGAGGAAAAATCCTGAAGATGTGGATCACTCTAACTCCAAGGAAGAAATAGACTAAACAAACTTCCCACAATGTCCCTCCCACTGCCAAGAAATCATATCCATTTCCAATTTCTGATAATAATGAGGGAAATGAAAATAAAATGCCCCATTCCTATGAATTAAAAAGTAAACTTGGGTAATTCAGCTCCTGTACACTAATCTGAAATACTCTCAGTCCACCTGAATTAACGATACTTTCTGTACCAGAATAGCTATTGCACTTGAACCAGAGGATGTTACAATTCCTTCATATCTTACCTGTTCATTACCACACTACCAAAGCAGTCCTGTTTTAAAAGAGAAAGTAAATTTACATAAAACACTCATTTTGAATGTGTCCAATAGCCAGGAACCTCTACTAATTAAAATCCCTTTAAACAGGATGAGCTGGAGCAAGAAAATCTCATAAACCCCACCAGGCATTAAAGATGTTTTTCTTTTTTTAATAAAAGGTAGTTAAGGTTAGTCAAACTGAGATAACCCCAGAGTTTTCCTAGCTCCTTCTAAATACACAACCACATGATCCAGACTAGGAAAATAGAGATGAGCCAGTAGATGAACAAAATAAGGACTCAACAAATACTTGAAGCAATCAAAAGGAAAGGACGCCCTGTGGCCTCACTGATACACTGTGGCATTACCCAGTGCAGCGTTTATAAAAGTTCCTGTAGCTCTGCACCATGTTCCTAGGTAATCCTCCCCCTAGACAGACACTGTTACAAATTAACCATCATTGTAGGTTTCGATCACAGACCAATTGTAATTCTATCGATTAACAAATAGTTAAGATAGAAATGAGGCCATTCTTCAATAAACTATAATTCCTCAACTGGAATGTACGAAGTCCACATCCTGGAAAGTTGTTTTAGAATTAAAATGTTGAGCAAGAAAAGATAATTTCTTGGGGAAATACCCAAAGACTTTGATGCTGACATTATTCCCCATCTCCTAGGCAACCCCCTGGCCTGCAAGGACTGTCTTAATTCCATCGGCACTGACCAGTGATGCAGCCACATGACAGCACGGCCAGACAGGTGGGTCTCCACCAGAGACCTGTCCCGCCTGGACACAGCATTCCCGCAGGGAAGTACAACCCCACCCCGCCGTGAGCATCTACTTTGTCCAAGATCTTTGGTACATCTGGAGCAGAAGAAAACAATGGCACAGTAATACAAGTACTATCAAAGGAAACTTTTTCACCAAAAGAAAGAAAAGCTAACCAGGCATGATATATAACAACTTTCTAGAAAACCAAAGTAAATAGTTCTTGTTCTTACAAATCTATTTACATGATCAGAAGTTTGACATTTAAAAAAATAGCTTAATAAAAATACACTAGGTTCTAAAAGCAGCCTTCATGGTCATTTCTGAAATTCAACTCAACATAATCAAATTAAAATAATGCTATGTCTTCTTGTTAAAAAAAAAAAGTCCTCATGTCACAAAGCAACTTTACGTTTTATGTAATACAGTACATCTCCCTATGAGTACACAGACTATGTATATCATCGGTATTTCTGAATGCAAAGGAAAAACCTTAATGGAAACTTTTCACTCCCTATTGTGCAGTTTGTGTAGTAAGTTGATGATAAATTCTATTTTTAAAGAACCAGTGTATTTCTTTTTGAATTTCTTAAAAGCATTACAGAAATTGTCTTCAGATATGTTCTACAGGTGTCCAAACCAATAGGGCAAATGTTCTAACACCAGCTGTGGAAGATGGCTTTTACTGATGTATCTAGACCCATAAGATTTGCAGAGAAACAGCAGTGCTGCAGTGCTGCCTACAGCTGGCCAACACTGCATTAGATCGCTGTGTCTCTTCTGAGTCCCAGTTCAAAGCGAGAGCACACACAGGCGGGATGGACCTCACTACACAGGCAGGCAGGGTAGTCAGATGGGGATGTACATTCCTTTTATTCCAGTACCTTCGTATAATAAAGTTAACAAAAATAATAAAATATTTTTTTAAAAAGCCAGCTGGCACTGCCAACCCATTCCTGTAGCAGTCTTAGAAACCCTAGTCCTGCAGAATTTCCTCTGTCGCCAGTGAGCACCACCATCCTTAGGAGACTTCAGGGTCTGGAGATCTGCATTGAGCAGGCCCAGGGTGCAGCTACCTGAGTGCTCATGGTTGTGGGCATGGTGGAACTCCTTCACAATTTCCCAGCCTTCATGTAAGTGGGGATGGAGCCACGCTGAGTCAACCCTTCAAACCTCTTGTAGGTGTAATTGAGAAAAAGCCAGTCTCTGGACTTGTAGTCTGGTTCTGTA